TATATTAATTAGTTATCGGTAATTTAAGATTTCAAAGACACTTGATGGTTTTAGACAATAATTTCAAATTTTTGTCCCGTTATTCAATATACCAGGCATATGTGTATGTGTCTCGTCAATAAAATGAGTGAAAATAAATATTTTGGTACATTTATTTGTCATTTAAGATATCATATATATAGATAACGACTATTAAATATATGCCAAACACTTCTATACAATTCCGTAACATAGCTTATTTGTTAAATTATTTACTCATAGGTAAAATTTGGCCTAGCTTTATTCTTCTATATACAAAGTAAAAAAAGGAATTCCAATTACCTCTTCTGCCAGAAAAAATAAAAATAAATAAACAAAAATGCAAAAGGCAAATTTAAATGACAAGTATAAAATTTTATCAGCCTCTTGTTTTGTTCGGCCAGCAATGAGAAGCTCTTTTGACCCTAGTTATAACGTTAAATCTTTCTTAATTGTCTCGTGCTCCTTTAGAGAGGATCAAGAATAATTATGACTCCAACAACTCATATTCATCTCCTAATAAAGTAATTAAGAATATATATAGATGTTATATATATACAATTAAGATCAAATGAAAAAGGAAGATAATGAAAAAAATGAGTATAAATCTGAATCATTGAATGCATCATATCAATGATTAGGATTAAATCAAAACTCTGGTCAATCATTAATGACATTATGGTAATTTAAAATACACATTTGTCCACTTAGTAAGGGTAAAACAGACAATAAACAAAATTATAGATCATCCACCCATACAGTGGACCCCACCACTAACCCACTATCCGACCCCTCTCTCTCACACATAAACACATACAACACACACCTCAACACACAAAGTACCACACGACACACAGAAAAAATCCGACGGAGCATCCGCCGGACGTCAACCTCGCCGCCGGACGTCAATCGCGTTGCCGCCGCGAGCCTCGTCGTTCACGACGCCGCTGACACCAACCCTCTGCTGTCGACGTGAAGATCTATCTAATTCTGGCACTGTACGTGGTTGCGTGGTCGTCATCGCCCGGCGCTGTGTGGTCCTCGGCGCCCGCCAGTAATCCGTACGACTTGATTGACCGCGACAACAGTTGAGGTGGCACATCTCGTCAAGGTGCTTGTCGCAGTGTAGAAGGTGGCTTTGGGCGGAGAGAGGTGGTCGATGGATGGCATCTACGACGACGATAGTGGTCGGAGAACGGCGGAGGAGCGGGAGCGCAAATGCATTCTGCTATGTGTGCCAAGGTCTACGACGGCTGTTGAGCACGAGGATCCGGCAGCGACCTTGGTGCGGGAATGCTCCGGTGGCGATGGCAGTCCCTGTGCGGCGTAGACGACCGTAGGAACCGGCCACCTGAGCTGACTGTGTTTTTAGGGGCTTAGGGTCTTCCTTTTTAAATTTGATAATTCTTGAGAACTTATATGCGAATTATAAAAGTTAACTATTTTTCAGTTCACTACGTGAGTTCAATTTGTAATTTATTAAACAATAAATGCATCATACTGATGAGTAAATTGCACACTATGGGGTATGCATATGCACATTAAGATACTATTATCGTTTTATATGAAACTATTAAATTTTAGTAATTGCACAATACTGATTGTTGTAGCAAATTATGTTACCTACTGAGTACCGAATCGAAAGATTCGTTCCCCATGGTGATCTCACGAGGAATGTTATCCAGATTATGATGCACGTGTATTCAACCACAAGAAAAATAAACAAATTCCTAAACACTCTAATTGAGATAATTGATTTTTGATTATCAATTAGAAAATCTCAAACAATGCAAATTCAAATTTCACCCAAAACAAGAATCAAGCAATGATAAAAAAGCTAGGGAGTCGAGGATATTTATTTTGGTTTGAAATGCAATCAACGGACATGTGATCATTCGGTAAAAGGATTCGAATAACCTACACATTCAGAGATTTATCT